TAAAAGAAATTTTTTGATTCAACGACCTTGGTGGTCCCGTGTGGTATCCTAATCCATCTGTATTCAGATCAAACTAGATTAGGGTGTTACAACTATATCTTTTGTCGTGGATAATCAAGATGTGGACATTACCCTTCAAAAAGGTACCCAAGTCAAAATATAGGAATCAGGATGGGGATCTATCCCTCTAAAGATGATCCCAAACTGAAACAAGACAAGGATATGATCCCATGAAGAAATAGTATGGGGACTTAATCCCATGCAGAATCAGGACGGGAAACTAATACCATGCAGAATCAGGACGGGGAACTAATCTTATGTAGAATTAGGATGGGGAATTAATCCCATGCAAAACTTGGACGAGGATTTAATCCCATGCAAAAACAAGATGGAGACTTAATCCCATGCAGAATTAGGAATGCATCAGAATGCATATTAAATGTGATGCAACATTTTTCAGGAAGCAATCGTGTCGCATATTCATGTATACATATATTCAGTTTGCGAGCATGCTTTCAGATAACAACACAAAACATAATATCATAGCATGTAAAATGTATCGAACAGGTCAAGGGGACACACCTATAGTAGTTAATCAATATTTGCTAAGCCTTACGCTTCCTACGATCAGTAGTACTAGGTCCTGCAAAACGGGAACCTAAAAACAATACCACTCTATAAATATGAAAACCATATATCTAAATAGAAATAGACTATAAAGTCACTAAATAATACTTACACGTATCTCAAGACGAGTGAGCATAATCGAACTAAGTAGAACAAGAGTGATTAGGATCTACTACAGAGCGGTCAAGGGACACTAGATTACCTTTAGAAAATAATACCAAAAAGTGAGTCCAAAATCTCACAATTTACTTAACATAATTATGACTTTAAGTAATAAATGACATAAAATAGGGATTTCATGTTAGAATTTGGCGAAACAGACTACAGAAACAGACTCAGGATGTTGAAAAATATAAAGATAGGGGTCTTCAAAAAAAGTCAACGGTCAACGGGTCGGGTTAAGGTCAACATGTCAAATTTGGTTTAGTCAAACCGGTCCATACGGACTGGTTCAGTAGTTTGAATCACCAGAATCATTCCCACACGTGCATGGGGGTGCATCAAACGCCATCAAGCATCCATTTTCGCACGAAAAATCCAAAAAAATATTTCCAAGCACGGGGAATCACATACCAAGGTCAGTTTGCGATGGGAACGAAAAAATTGAGTTTTCTTAAAAAATTGAAACTAAACCCCTCATCCAACGTTAATGGTATCGACAAACCGAGGGTACCAGATTAATGACGACAGCGAGATGAACACAATGACACCGGTGGTGAGAGACACAACAACACAATTGATGACTAATCAAGTAAAGAATGGAACGAGACCAAAAAAAATGATTAGGTACCCACGCTTGCTCTCAATGCCTCAAGTATAGATGACTACTCATATTCGTAGTCTTAATTCAGATAAAATATTTAATAGGGTGAGTAAAACTTGATTGAATTAAGAAAATAATTTTATAATTACAAGTTATTCAAGTCACTCAATTTTAATTTCTGATTTCAAACTTGATTCGAGTTTAGATTTTATTAATTTAAAAAATAAAAAAAATCAAATTTGACTTTATTTCTTTATTCCTTTGTTTTAAGTTCATTACTAAATATTATATGTGAATGTATTCTTTTATTGATGCACATTAAGGAATTAATATATTTTAGATTTATCTTCTTCTTCTTTTTAATTTTTCATATATTTTATGTATAAAATAAATATTTTTAATTTTACATAAATAAATATATTTATAAGAAAATATAAATTTTAAAATTAATAATTAAATTATCATAAACTATTCTTAAATATAATTATAAAAAAAGTTTAAATAAAAAATAAAAAAATAATTTAAGATATTAAAATTTTATTGTTAGAATTGGTGCATATCGATACAATCTAATATTGGTTGAAATTAGTTAAACATATTAAAAATGAATAAATCAACAATCGATCGATTTAGTGGGATGAGACACTAGATCCTTAAGTAAGGTCAGGAGTTGGAATCATGATATTTGCGAACGGAACAAACTAAGTTGAGAGGGTTGTCTTCACCTTTGTAATACAAAATCTAGATTAATCGACCAATAAATCGAATATATCAAAAGAAAGAATAAAAACACATCAAAGTTTTAATTAGAACAATATTAAAATTATTTGATTTAAGATCAATTTAAATTAATAGACTAATATACTTTTGATACTATCATAATAAAAATGCTTATAGAATTAGAAAAATTCTATCAATGTATTTAATAATATTTCTTCAGGTTGGAAATTTTCGGCGTATGCCTTCCCCCAAAATCTTTCAATATTTTTGGGGATGACAGATGCAAAAGGACTTTGGTCGGATGGTTCAAGAAAATTGGACAAACGAGGGCGGTCTTTCTGCAATTATTTCTAAATTTACCCAAGCTACTGAGGTTTGGAATAAATCCTCTTTGGTTATATTAGGTCTAAGAAAAGATTGATTATGACCAGATTGAGAGGTGTTCAGAGGGCTCTGTAGGTCCGTAGCTCTGAATTTTTATATGGTTTAGAAGTTCATCTTTTAAGTGAGCTTGAATCCTTACTTGATCAAGAGGAACTTCTTTGGCGTCAACACTCAAGATCTGACTGGATTTCACTAGGCGGTCGTAATACTAGCTATTTCCATCGGAGAATAAAAATTCGCAAACAACGTATTCGTGTTCTATCTTTTAAAATAAATGGTGATTGGTGTCATGATCATGATGCTCTCAAAGGTGAAGCTATTCGGCATTTCAAAAGACTGTTTACCATTGATAATTCAGTTGCTGATTCTTACCCTCTTACGGGTAAATTTCCTCGTATACCCCATGATAAATGGGTAGCTCTTGACTATCCCATCTCCCGGGAAAATCGTGAGGCTTTAAATGAAATGACGCCTACATGCAGAGTTCTTTCAAAAATATAGGTCGGTTGTGGGTAATTCCATTTGTACTTGTATTCAAGCAATTTTTAATGGTGGGGATCTCGATCCTGCTCTTAACAAGGCTGTTCTGGTTCTCATTCCCAAATCTGATACTCTAGAAACTATAGGGAAAAGAAAGATTTTTGTGTGAAAATTTTGATTTTATTTAGGAATTTAGAGGGAAATTAGGAAATTTTGAGAATATAGGGAAATTGAGAATTTAGAGGGAAATTGAGAAATTTAGTGGGAATAGAAAAATTTGGGAAGTTGGCGCCAAATATAGTGTCCAACAAGATATTTTGGGTTAATTAGGCTCATGCTCCTCCAACAATCATCATTTTTTTCACTTGTATTTGATTTTTAATTTCTTTCATTTTAGTCATGGTTTAATTGTAAATATCTTCTTAAATTTTCAATTCGATGCAATTTATAGAAACACTTTGCATAAACTATATAAAGTAATAAAGTATATAGTTCATATAAACCTTAAATCCTAAACCCTAAACTCTAAACCCTAAACTTTTAACCCTAAATCCTAAACCTTAATATATGTATAAACCATGTATAGTATATATAAACTATATATATATATACCTATATATATAAACCTTTTTTTATATTAATTTAAACCTCACATTTTAAATTTATTTCGATTTAGTCCCTTACCTATGTGTGTTGTTTAATTTATATTTAAAGATTTTATTTGTAATTTTACATTTCTTCAATTTTGTCATTAAATTTATATTTTTTACAAAATTGATCAATGAATATTTATTTTTCTCTTAATTTACTCAAAAGCATATACAATTACAACTTGCAATTCAATAATCACGAAAGATGACAAAATAATTAATCCAAAAATAAAAACGACCCGACATGAACTCAGTCCGTATCCGATAAACATTCGACCTGAACTCAATCCGTATCCGATAAACATCCGACCTGAATTTTATCTGTCAATGATGTGACCCGATCTGAACAAGATCCGACTGAAGTCCACCTGAACCTGAATTAACCTGGTCTTTATTTGCTTCAGATCTGAACTGACATCGATCCGAACTGAAAATGACCCGACCTGAACCCGATAAGGATTTGGTGTCAAATCAACCTGAAAATAACCCGAACTGATTTGACATGACCTGAACCTGATCTAGATCTGGTGTCAAATCAACCTGAGTTGACCTGTACCCGATTTTACCCGACCTGCCAAGATCCGACTAAAACATGTCCGATTACCTGATTTTACAGCCCTACTTGGGATACAACCTTTTGATCTTTCTTTGTTTGAATCTGTGCCCATATATGTGCTGGACTTGTTGTCTAGAGATATACAAGGCCCTCCCTATCTCAGAGTTTGATGTAATTTAATCACTCTTCCAATTAAAAAAAATTATTGATTGGGGAAACCCAATTTCAACCGTCTTTTCCTAGCTTCATTACAAATTGGTTGGGGAATAAAATGAATGATTGATTTATAATTATACTTAATTTGGATGCATCAAGAGGAAATTCCCAAAAAAAGAGAAGTGTCACGCGTTTACCATTTGTTTTTATCCCATTCTCTTCTAGCTCAAGCTTTCAAGGATAAACTAACACCCCAATAATTTATTCTTTCAATCCCATCATCCCCCAAGTCTCCAGAAATCCACTTTCTTTCATGTATTGATTTTGCTGGAGTTGGAGATTCAAAGTACAATTCCCACATTGATTAAACTCTAAAGTACAATTCCCCCGTATTGAGTTTGATTTTGTTTCTTGGTATCCGAATGATGACATATAGGATTTGATTTCCCTTCTCTTTTGTTTTAACCTTAATCATGAATTTGAGTCTTTCGTTGTTCCCTTCTGGCATTCATTGAAAAGCTAGCTTTTTGTTTTTATCATGGCCTTTTCTTTTTTGCATTGATTTCATTTTGTCGTTATTTTTTCAATTTTTATTTGCCATTTGGTCATGTTCCCTTTCTGGGTCTCAGGCATTGCATTGATTGATCTTGGTTTGCATTTTGTTTTAATTTCACGGTTGCTTCATCAAATATGTTGACCATTGCTTATGATTACCTCATTTCTCATTTCTCAGCTTCTTTGTTTCTATTGTATTACCTTTGATTGCCTTATGTTACTTTTTACACGGATTTAATTTTAATGCATTTTTCATTGTATTTAAATTTGCTTTTCTGAAATGAAAATGTTTATTTGTTTGATTGAACTGAAGTTGTCTTTAGATGGAGAAAATTTTATATATGATATTTCTTGGAACAGGATGGTTATCGGTATCTGCTTTGAATATTTATCTCCTTTTCGTTTTTTTTTTATGTAAACCATATGGCCGGTACCCTTCATTCTAAAATTGACATGATGAAAGAAGCATTGGAGTCTTTTTGTTCTCCTGACTTCCATTTATGTATCTGTTATAGAATCGATAAATGGAGGAGGCACAAAACTAGGAGAAAGTACCCTTTCTACTATGGTGATTTTGAGATTGTAATATAAAAGAAGTGCCTAAACAGACAACCATGTCAATAAAGTCTTACAAAGATCAGGCTCACATGTTGGTCAAGAATTACATATTGGCTGATCATTTTGTTCCTTATACTTCCATCCTCACTGGCATTCTTTCTTGCAAACTGGTATGGCGACATTAATTCTGGATCATTGAATCCCTGGGCAGGAGCTTCCTTATACCCATTAATGAAGCTTGCATGAATAAATTCCACATATTTTAAATCAACTTGTATCTATTTTGATGTTGCTTTTCCCTAGGACTCCTTTATTACACTTACGTTGGTATAGGTCTATGATCTGACCGACTTAATCAGCAGCTTTTACATCAAGACTTACCCTAGTCTTACTAAAATTCAACCAGTAGATTGGAACAATCGGTTAGTGTTGTGCATGCTCTGGTTTTTTTTTCTTCTGTTATCATGCTCATTCTCTCATTTGTTATTAACATATTTTTTGGCAGTGGCATCTCTACGACTCGCGCAATTTTCGTTTCTTCTTTGTCGTTGTACTTCGTTTTCTGGTCGGACCTCTTTTCTGACTCAAAGCTTTCGGGTCTTATGGTCTTCAGAAGCTCAACACTGTCTACTTTTGGTTTAGGGGTAAGTTGTAACCTCTTATACGATCTTCAAGTGGTTCATCTGTTGAGATATATCATCGACTGTGAATTAGGAACCAATTTCTATCCTTATTTAATGAGCCATCATATGTATATATATATATATATATATGTGTTTTAATGAGCCATCATATGTATATATATATATATATGTGTGTGTGTGCGCTTTTCTAACGCCTCTGCATTTTCAGCACAATCATTAGGCTTAGAAAAACTTAACTTTATTTGAACAAATTTCTTTTAATCATTTTCTCCTTTTGGATTGAAGTTATTATTTAAGAACAATTGTTAGTGGTATATAAACATTTTGAGGATACTTAACGTCTTTTGTAGTTATTAGCATCTTCTTTGACTACTTGATTTCGAATACCAAATTCTGGTATAAACATTTTTTATTTTGTACAGGTTTCTCTTGGATACTTCTTTGAAGATCTTGCTATGACTTTATGGAAATATCCCTCTTTAGGTGGAATAGAATATGTAAGTGTATTCTCTACTAGGAAAGCACTCTGGTATACACTTTCCATTTTTCACTGTTGTAAGGAACAATAGTAACAGTTCAACTGTTGCTACTGTCCCTAAAAAACGATTGAATGACAAGATGCAACACCCTTTTAACATGTATCCTTAAATTGTCAGTTGTTTCCTTCACCACAGCTTTATGATAAATTCATTTGGTTCATAACTAAATTACAACATAAAGCATGCAAGCATAGTGTTGTTATCCTTCTAGGTCAGACTATTCGGTTCAGTTATTTTTCGGAGTAACTTTAACGTATATTGAGTAGGTTGAATCTTACGAAACCGGTAACCGTATGTTCATGGGGTATATGGAATGATAAGGGAAGATTAACAAGATACTATCATCTGGTTGCCAGGTTATCCATCACATCCTTTCTGGAATTGCAGTGGCATAATCAATGTTTATCGGAGAAGCTCAGCTGTATACATACATGGTTCTCATATCTGAGGTGACAACCCCAGAGATCCATTTGAGATGCACTACAACAAAATTGTTCTGTAGCGGCATTTGGAGAGTAAACGCCACAAAATTTAAACATGTAGCTGCGTTTACAATCCAAACGCCACAAAATGAAACTTTAGCGGCATTTCTTTAACAAACGCCGCGATAGAGTAGTAATTTAGCGGCGTTTTTCGCACAAACGCCGCAATAGTGTTGTTTATAGCGGTGTTTTTTCAACAAACGCCTCGATAAAGAGTAGTTTAGCGGCGTTTTTAGATAAACACCACAATAGAGTTCATCAATAGTGGCGTTTGTTAAAAAAGCCGCACCAAAGGATAAATATATGCTCAATTAATCTTATTTAAAGAAAGGTAATTAGCGGCGGTTTTGGAAAAAAACGCCGCAATAGGTTCATCAATAGTGGTGTTTTTCCAACAAACGCCATTATAGAGTACTTCTTTAGCGATAGTTTTTTATAAACGCCGTAATATGGTTCATCTATAGTGGTGTTAACAACAAACACCGATATAGAATATTACTTTGGCGGCGTTTTTATACAAACGCTACAATAGATGTAATATATAACGGTGTTTTTCCAACAAACGTCGTAACATAGTTGTACGTTAGCGGCATTTTTTTATCAAAACGCCGCAAAAGAGTCATACGTAAATGGCCTTTTTAGACACAAACGCCGCTAAATTTAAATTTTACCACATCTGTTAAACGCACCATTTTGATCTGACTTACCTCTCCTGACGAGAAGCCTAACACCCCCAAAACTCCCCCCATTTTGTTCGAGCTTTCCCTGTAACCCTATCGGAACCCTAAACCCTAAACTCTTTCTCCCAAAATTCGTAGTCCTCCATCGACCGCCCTCACCAGAGGTAAACGTACATTGCTTGCAATATCCAGCGCCGAGGTGTGCCTCACCCTGCATCTCTGTTTAGGCATTCCAAAACAAATTTAAAAGGTGCGTTGTATTCTTCTCTCACCTGTACGCACAAATCCATGAAAGCTTTTTAAGCTTTGAATGATTCAAGTCATCCGTACCGAGTTCAGGACTCTGTACCGAGGCCGATCGCAAGGATCTCTGTTACAGTAGTTGCTCTGTCTGCTGCAGTTTTTGTACACAGGTCATTCCTCTCAACAGTTTTTTTTTTGCGCTGGTATGTTGTATTTCTTTCTTTGCTTATATGATTATGTAGTGATTTTGTTGCTGTATATCCTGTGTATGATTCATGTTTATGGTAGATTCACAGTTAGTAGTTGTACGTGATTACGTTTGCAAGAAATTGTAAATCATCTAATGAGTTCTGTGATTGAAGGTACCTTGATACAGCTGGTATGAAGAATTCCATTGCATATCTCATTACTGGTATCGTCATCTTCGTTGGCTGGCTGGTGAGATCAACTTTTCTAAGTTTTCCATTATAAAAAATTAACACGCACGGCACAAGAACCTGTGTCATAGAATAGGAGAAATGAATGGAATATAGTTGAGTAGATAATTAGACATGGATAGCCATAAAAAACAAGCTGCCTGTTGTTTCATTTTTCATTTTGAGGATGTTGCATATATTTGCTCACAAAGATAAGCAGTTCATTTTCAATAAGGTACTCGAACTTTTAAACTAAGCTGAAGTTACGGATGGCAGATTGCGAGAGTTCTGTTGTTTGGCTACATGTTCTACCATGTGTACTTGCATTATGATCAGGTACCGTACTTTCGTCTCCCTTGGTTTTAAGCTTTAATTGAATATATTTCTTATCTTCATCTACTTTGCTGCATTAACTTATAATTTCTAAAAAAAGCTTTATATAAAACTGAAGATTTCAATATATGTTCTAACTTGGATGGACTCAGTAGGTGATGAAGATGCATACCGTCGGCTACGTCCTGGTTTTTGGTGTTCCATCGGCATTAAGCATATTGAACATGATGTGGTTTGGGAAGATTATTAGAGGTCTAGTGAAGACTTTAGCAAAGAGAGGATCACCCACAAAGGAGGTAAACAGTGAACAGTAATTATTCTATTGTTCTGCCGGAGATTTGTGTATTTTCCCACTTGTGCAATGGTATAAAGAAGGAGAAATAGGTGAAAAACTTTGACAACAAGTCTCATATGATTTTTTATGTTGAGTCTTGGAAATAGAAATGTTGCAAGTGAATCATACAACTGTTAAACTTTTTAATATATATCATAGATTAAAATTTTAATATGTATATTATTAGTTTGACTTTTATTTTTTATTTAATTAAAACTTATCATAATGTGAATCTATTAAGTTATTTTAATGATAAAAAGAAAGTGTTATTCTATTTAAAAATTTTATATTCAAATAACTACGTCTTGGCAATCGATAGGAAATATAAGATGTACTTGATTATCAAGCTTTTTGTTTTTTGTTTAGCTAAATATGTATTTAATTAAAAAACTATAATTATATTTCAAAGTTATCCTAATTCATTCATCATGAAAATTGGAGTCATAACACATTTGGTAATTGAAGAAAAGGGCATCTTTGAAAGGTCATTCTCGTCCATATGGAATTCATGTGGGGGCATGAATCGGGATCGTCCTTGCCACTGCACATCAATTCTCAACTAAAACACACATATCAACCATTCAACAGTTAACTACAAACAAATGTACACTGTGCCAACTAGTATTGTAATATGGGGTTAGCTATCACTACCATTCTCAATATCATTAAAATACAAAATACCTGTAAATGCCCTTTTTTTAGGAATGAATACATCATGAGGCCTGGGTTTAGGAACAACAAAATATAAAATAATGATGTCATTTGTACACATATACCAAAAATTTTAAATCACATTTGTTTCTTCCATATTAGCTATAAGTTCACTTGCCTTCTTTCAAAACTTGATAACCACTTCCGCTAGCACCATAGCTACAAGAATATCATGAACATAATGTCTGGTATCACAATCCTGACAGGTTTTCACAATCTCGTCCTATAATCCTATTAATTCTTTTGCCTTCATCTTGTAATAAGCTTAAAGGCAATTTGACAAAATTGAAGTATCATATTAAGAAAAGCTATAATTTAGGGAGAATCTGTCACTAAAACTGCATATAAATGTGTATGTATCCTTGCTCTCTATCATAACGCTGCGTGGAGGGGGAAAAGGCAAACTTTAGTACGCACACGCTTTTGTCAGAAGATTACAACCAAGCCTACTAAATTAGCCAATAATGCCCACTCCCCTTCCCTTTCTGAGTGGAAAATAAAGGAAGAAAGGCCCAACTTTTGGTATAGGGCCACCGCCTTGTCAAGAGAATACAAGACTAGCTAGCTCCAATAATGGTGTCCAGAATGGCATTTATATAACTCTCACCAAACCTGACATCCCCTCTGGGTCATTGACTGGTCGCCCTTCGGCCACCCACCACTGAAATAATGCTCACTCCACATTTGCTTCCAGCAAATATATACTTGTCTCACATTTTCCACATCATAAATGATAAAAGATGAGCTGCCAGCTCCCATTTTCTTTAAGAAAGGAAGTGTAGCCTTCAAGTCTTTTCTTCCTTCACATATCAGTCATGAGACACTTCATAGAAATCTCCCTTTGAAATTCAAAGGTAAAATAAATGTTGCAGCTTGTATGACAGCCTAGATGTCAAGCACTTATGGAATACCTTGATTCATAAGACCAAGTTCAATGGATTAATGAAGGATTTACTGGATAGGTTCCTTGAAGATAAACCCAAAGACATTTTTTCTTGTACTTTCACTTTTGGTAGTATTGCAAGTTACAACAAACCCTAGTTTGTGTTTATACATAAAATATGAGAGTTTAAACACTTGAAATGAAAGAAAACAAATAATTAGAATGAGTGCAACATAAAACATAGGTCACAAGTGGGGGGATTATAAACAACTACATGCAGCTTACGTATACGTATGCATGCAAGCAGTTAGCTGAGTCAGCAACTGTTAGGGTTTGTTAGTTGTTAGTTAGGTTGTTAGCATGTATATGTTAGTAGTAACTGATTGCAAAGCAGTGTATAAAGTGTCTGCATATGTACAGCTTGAGATATACTTTTCACCAATGAATATACTCGTATTCTGTTAAGAAGCAGTAACTCAATATGGTATCAATCGTTAGCAGTTCTGGGTGATTTTGAGGAGTTTTCTTTCCGCTGCTCGCGACGATCATGGTGTCTCATTCTTGCTATGAATCTTACGCTTGGATGTGCGAAGAATTTCTCGAACAAGAAGGTCAATATCGTTCTTGATGAGAAAAACTTCTTGTTGTGGAAACAGCAGATTCTGTTGACAATTAAGAGCCACCGCCTTGAACGACTCTTAATCGGAGCCATGATGCCTCCACCAGAAACTGTGCTAGATGATGATGGCGAGGAACACGTTAATGAAAGCTATGAAGAATTTATTGCACAAGATAGTGTTGTTGCTTCTTGGTTGCTATCAACCATCAACCCTCATCTTCTTCCCAGTTCATGGGAGCAGAAACTGCTGCAGCAGTTTGGCGAACAGTGCTACAGTTCTTTGCAAACAGGTCCACAATAGCATTAATGAATCTCCATTACAAACTTTGCTCGTTGAAGAAAGGCGGTGAAAACATGCGCACTTACCTTACTCGGTTAAAAGAGGTGTGTGATACACTAGCTTCTTGTGGGAGTGCTATCTCACATATTGAGCACATTGTTAGAATCTTGAAAGGTTTGCCACGCGAATATCAGTCATTTATGGCTATTATAACCACTATGAAAGAAACATTATCGTTAGATAGCATTTACACAATGCTAATGGATGTTGAATCTCATTTGGCGGGGTTTGATGAACAAGTTGATCTACTGCCTGTTAGTGCAAACCTAGCTTAGGGCAGTATAGATCGTGGGTCTTTCAATGCTTCTAATCGTCAAGATTCCAGGACAAATCGTTCTAATAATGGACCTGGTATGAGAAATCATGGTAGGGGGCGTGGGAGAACCAGGTTATAGTGCCAACTCTGTGGTAAACTTGGCCATTTAGTTGATCGATGA